TACAATGGATTTTCAGAATTCCATAGAATTGACGGCAATATCTCAGCCACAGATACAGTTACAAGCAAGCAGAAACAGAAACACATGATTGTTACTCGATGTCCACAACTCTCCATAGGTGCGAGCGGCTTTTTCTATCACCAAAAAAATCTTTCGATCTAAGATCTAAAAACCCTGCAATAAAAGTATTGCCCCTACAACATCCGACAGGTCTTGAACCAAGGAGAGCGCGTTCCAACACTTGACGTTACCACTCAGGTTAATACTGAAATACTGGCTAACCTCGGACGCTACATCATTTCCTTAAAAAAGGACCCAATTTCCCAAATAGGGAGAGTGGCTCAGATCAAATTCATTTCGATTTTAAAGAGTTGCATGATTTACCGCGCGGAAATACATTTTTGCACAGAACGCAACATGTCGTTTTCAAGCTAGAAGTGAAACTCCTGTACAATAATTTATTTACGAAAAATAATACTTTCCACTCTCAAACATTGGACTCAAAAATTTAGTTTTTAGTTTTCTCACAAATTCTGATAGGCATCTCCCAAGTCCCTTGGCTGCGATGAAATACCAAGTCAAATCAGACAAGTTTTTCAAGGAGTCTAGTGAATCTTTCAATAAATAAATAATTATATGACAATCACTTATCATAGCTACAGACTAAAGAGGTCTAGCACACCCAAATAGAGTCTACTGATGAAACAACCATTAGAACTATAAAATCTATCGTATTTTTGCCTATGTTATGTTCAGTTTTTCAGGGTGGATGGAGAAATGTCAAATCACACCAATTTTTAATTTTTAAAAAACTTTGTGCAAGAAAATACAAATGTATTTAATGCTTGTAGTTCTCTTTGATTTGCATCAATGATAGGTTCAAACAGACACTATCAATAATGCAATCCAAAATTGCTTATTTAAGAGATGCAGTTAACCAGTTGTTAAGAAATGACCAGGCAAGCATGATATTTACTGAAGTGTCTGCCCTGGTTTTCAAAGGGTGGATAACACTATCCATGTATTAAATCTATATCTGCAGGAAAGTAATTTACAAGTTGGATAGCATTATCCACCCTCCAAACAACTGGGCATTATGCGCAAAGGCCCCTTTTTAAAGAATCCCTCTTCATAATATTGAAATATTTTATCTAGAAGTAAATTTGCTTAGTCTCAAAT